TATCCAACCTTTTTTGAAATTTATAGTGGAAAAGTATTTGACTTGCTTACTAGGAAGACAAAATTGGTAGTGTTAGAAGTTGGGAAGTAGTAAGTTCAAATTGTGGGATTGCAGGAGACAGAGGTAAAATCTCCAAAGATGTGCTGAAACCAGCCCAGCCCTTCCTTGCCTGAACTGTTCCATACCACTTCCCACTCTTAATTCCTTCTAGTCCCCTTCTCTACCTCCCAGTTACCTCAAGTTATTGGCCACTCCTTGAATCACATCCAGATCTTCCCACAAATCTTTTTTCCTGTAAAAAGAGTTGGTCTCATCTACCAAAGGGCAGTTTCTTAAAATCTTGCCCACCTCAGTCAGTGTTTTAATAAACCCTCTCTCTGACTGAAAGAAGGCTGGAGTCAAATTCTTTCAAGGCAGGACCTGCATCTTCTGCCCTTGAATTTTGGGGTTCCCAGCACCCCTAGGCCGCAGCAGTGAAATGTTGCAAATAAAAAGGTTGGGCACAGAATTAAAGAAGTGGAAGGTAGCAGGCTGGATTGCCTTTGGGGGAAATTACAAAGTTTCTTCAGTGATCCCAGAAATTAAGGCCCATCAGTTAACCAAGTCCTAATGACTCCGTTTCTACATCTCTTGCATCTTTCCCACATCTCTTTTCAAAGTGTCCAACCTAGTACAGGCCCCCATTACAATTTGCCTGGATATTGCTCGAGGCTCATAAAAGATCTTCCTGCCACCATTCTCTCTCCCTTTCAAACTATCTTTCCTAGACCTACATGCCAAATATTATTTATGCAAAAATCTGCACATTACTCCTCTGGTTAAAAAAAACCCTTTAGTTCCTTACTTGATCATGTTCAAACATCGGGGGCCCTGAGAGGCAGAGCAGCGCCTCACACCACTGATCTCTGGGCTAGGTATACGTCGATGGGCATTGGATTGGTGACGCCACTGCCTAGTTTGCCCCCAATGCTTTCCTAGCTCGTGTCCCTGCCTGCAATATATTCCCTGCTAATCTATCCTACACATTTTCTACATCTCATCTTTCTCCTACTCCATTTTCATCGTGGCATTCCCCTTCTCCAGAACTTACCACTTATCACCTATCATTTCAAACCATAACTCTGCAGTCCAACATTTAAGGGTCTTCAATAACTTATATCTACCTATCTCACCCTCCAGCTGAGCAAATCTCTTTTGCAAATTTGCTTACTCCCACCTCGATGCTTTTGCTTCTACCATCCCCTCTACTTGAAAAGCTCTCTCCTACCCTTTCAGTTAATTCATGCATCTTACCTCTTTTCAAAATGGCCCATCATCTCCAATTCTTCCTCATTATTCACCCAACATTTCTGATCAGTTGCCAAATCTTGTCAATTCTACCTCCATTAATGTCTCACATACCTTCCCTCCTCACCATCCACATGGTCACCACTTTGGTTCAGGTGCCCATTCCCTCTCACCTAGACTATAGCCATAGGTTCCTACTTGGTCTCCCTAACTCAGGCCTGTCCCCAATCCAAAATATCTTCCACAAAGCCACCAAAATGAATTTCTGACAGTACAGGTCTGACTTTATCACCACCCCCCTCACTCAATAAACTCCTTTGGCTCTCTATGTACTTATGGGATCAAATAGAAACTCCTGTTTAGCATTTAAATCTCTTCACAACCTGACCTACAACTACAGCCTACTACTATTGCAATCTTTTTAACATACTACTTCCATCCACACTCTGAGATTCAGCCCTACTGGCTTATTGGCTGTTCTTCGAATATAATGTTTCATCTCCAGTCTCCATGCCTCATTCTGTCCCTCATTCCTGAAATGCACTTCTATCTCACTTCTGCTTCTTGGGCTCCCTATTTTCCTTCAAGATTTAGCTTGAGTTTATTGTATACATATGTAGAGATAAAAACTTTTCTGGCTTTATCAGCCTGGCTTTTTTCCACCTACTTCCCCTCCCCTGCCCCTCCCCACAGTTGCTAGCACATGCACTTCCAAAATTACCTCCGATTATTTTAAGCATATATTCACATATGCAAGGACTGCTTCACTTTTTTTTTTCACTGCCCAGTGCTTAACAGTACCTGGTACATAGTAGGTATTTAAATGCTTGTTCCCCTCCCCTTGTTCTTTTGCTGATCCATTGATTCAAAATCTCATTTTTTCAAAACCTGGCTCAAAATTCATCTCCTTAGAAAATCTTCCAAAAATGAATTGTGTTTATCTACTTGGTACTTAAATATTCTGTTCATATTACATTAATTTGCATATATTAATATTAATCTGTAAAGATGTTCTTCCAAAGTTTTGTGCTGTGTGTATTGCTTCCTTCCAATTACAGTGTCTTCTAAGCATTAGAAAATTTACTTTTATGATTAACATCAATTGCATATGGAAGTAAAGCTAACAGAGGACTTTGTTTCCACGTTCCCTCCTTTTCCTGTTTTTATATAATTATACAGGCTTCTTCAAAATTTCAGGAATTACAATTATCTTTAAAAGCTGATGGATTCTTTTAAGTATCTTAGGACAGGAATTACAGGAGCAGCTAGGTGGCACAATGGATAGAGTGCTGGACCTGGAGTCAGGAAAATCTGAGTTCAAATCTTGCCTCAAACACTGACTCTAAAAGGTCACTCTCTCAGTTTTCTCGTCTGTAAAATGGGGAATACCACCTACATCACAGGATTATTGTGAAGATCAAGTGAGATAATTTCAAAATGATGAAAGTGAGAGAAGTTATTATTTCCTATTATATTAATAACCAATTATTAAATTAGGATTAAGGCTTTTTCTTTCTATTTCCTCACTTATGGAACAGGCCTTGTAAGTCCATCAACCTCTGATAGATGAGATTGCCCAAATCCTCTGAGAACACTTTAAAGGCTAAACAATCTAATGTAGGTACATTCCTGCCCTAAAACAGTAAATCCATGCCCTTGTGCACCAGCCTCCCCTCATCCCCACTGGAGTTTAGGGTGACCCCACTCATGAAAGAGAAAACCAGCTGGAGTGTCTGGGTGGAGATAGATTTCTTTATCCAGATTTCTAGAGGTGACTGAGTCTCAAGATCAAACCACATTCTCGGTAGGAGGGGCTGAGAACTTTCAGCTCACCTCCTCATTTGAAAATCTACCCCCTCATTAACTGTTCACCAATCAGGGTTGATTTTCACCTGTCATGGGCACCCCCTTTTCCAAAAGTAGACTAAGGCATTCATTATCTCCATTGGATGTCTTTGGTTACTGAGACAAACCACTAACCATCAATTTATTGATTATCAGATGGCCTAATTAATAAATTGATTATTAATTACCCAGAAACTATCTCTCAGACCTTTCATTCATCTCAAAAGGTAAGCTTTTTTTGAGTTGCCTCCTCTCTTCTACACTGTTGGAAAGGGGTCATGGTAATACTGGTAAATGGAAGTAGAAAAACTTTCTACAAGTTTGTCTGAGTTAGAAAGTCTCATCCCCTCACCACAAGGCTCTCCCCATACAAAGACCTAGTCATTCCTCAAACTCCTGCCCTTATTAAGGGGCTCTTCCTGAAGTTAGAAGGGGCTAAGCACAGCTATAAGGGTCCTACTGTAGTGCATCTTTTCAGGTCTCTCCTTCCAGTTTATAGACTGCTGACACACTAAGAGTGAGGGTAGGGAGAGATAAAGAGACAAAGAGAGACAGAGGCAGAGACGGAGACAGAGGGAGACACAGAGAGACAAAGAGACAGAGCACCAGAGAGAGAAATAGAGACAGAGAGACTGTACAGCTATCCCTTCATACCAACGACATCATAAGTCCAGTCCCATCCCTATCCCTACTCTTGATATTCAGAAAGGATGAGTTCCAACCAAATTAATTGTAAACTGAAAGTATTATTTCCCCCATGATGCCAATTTTAAGAGAAAAGTTGTAGAAAAACTAAAATGCACTTTTCCAAGCCTTCTCCCCACCCCCAAAGTTTTTTTTTGTTTTGCATCTGTCTAGTGCAGTTATATTGTACTATTTTACTAGTGTGTGTGTATACTCATATTATTACATATACATATGATTATCTATACACATGTAATGGTTTCCTTTGTAATCCTATGTTTAAAACCATTAGTCTGAGAAGTGGCCCATTGGTTTCACCAGACAGACAAAGCTGCCCAAGACTCAAAAAAAGGTTAAGAATCAGAGACCCACAGTTTAAGAAGCACTGATAGGGGTCACAGAGTGGAAAAAGTTTAAGAAGCCCTGCACTAGATGGCCTCTACAGTTGTTTTCCAGTTTGAGTCTAAACTCAAGCACAGGTGTTAGACAGCTTTGAAGGAATTGAAGAGAAATGTCAAATTGAGAGAACCAGGAACAGCCTCTACCATGCTATTTCTTACTCTCCAGTGGGGCCTCTCTGTTTAATAACTTTGCATGGCCACATAGGCAGTTTGGGTACAGTGAATTTAGGGAAGGTAACTGCTTCCCGCTCTGTAAATTAGAGAAGAGATTTAGCTGGAGATCAGATATTAATGGTAACTATACTCCATAGCCCCGCTAACATAGTATTTGTCCTACTAACCTATGTGAAGAGAAAATAAGGAGGCAGGCTCGGGAGAAGTTCAGCTTTCCCTTAAGAAGTCCCCTAAGTCAAAACAAACAAACAAAAAAAACAAACAAAAAAAAACCCCAGTGGTTGGAATCCCAGCTCTGCTACATACATTGTGAACTTGGATGATTCTCTTCCCAATATGGTACAGAGGATGAAACACTGAATTTGAACTCAGGGGATTTGCCTTCAAATCCCACCTCTGAACACTTTCTACCTGTCACTTAGATTTTCTGGGTCTCAGTTTCCTCATCTGTAAAATGAGGGAGATAGACTAAATGGCCGTTGCAGTCAATTCCAGTCTAGATCTATGATCTCCCTAAAATGAAGGGTGATTAAGAGAGCAGGATAGGGATCACTCTCCCTAAGTTCCCTTCCAGCTCTAAATCCCCGGAACCCAAGACTGGGCACTCACCATTTTCAAGGGAGACAAACATCTGTCCCGGCTCCTGCCGTATATGTCTCGCTATGATGGCACTTCTCCACCCAGTGGTTCCGCAGACTTTGATCACCTCCCGGACAAACTGGCGGCCGCATAGCTTCCTCGGGACGTCGTCGATATACTGGGCTCTGAGCTCCCCGGGGTAGAAACTCAGCAGCAGCCAAGCTCCCAACAGGTGGGAAAAGATCAGACTCAGTAGCATCTCCGCGCTGTCCGGTGGCAAGCTCCCAGCCGTATCCTGCCTCCTGGTCCTCTCGGCTAGAACCACCTCTGGCCGTCAGTCCTCCCTTCCTCTGGGTCGCCTGAGCTTCTGGCAGGGCTGCGCTGAGTCCGTCGGTCAGCCCGCTTTCTCTGGCTACCTGTCCCTGCCTTCTCTTTGCTCTGAGCGCTCTTTTTATAGGCTGACCACTCCATTCCACAATTAACAAGTCTCTCTACCCCTCCCCCTTTCCCTTCTTCCCCTCCCCTCCCCTTCCTCGTCCCCTCCAGCCCACCCTCTGTTCTCCAGCCCTCCCCTCCCCAGCCCATCCCTCTCTAACTTCTCTGTTCTTTACACATCTTTCTCTTGGTGGACGCTAGTGTCTCAAAAGGACACACACACAGCGCGCGCGCACGCGGTTTAAAACTAGAAGACGATTTCAAGATTATTCAGTCTATCCCTCTCATTTTTACCGAGGGGGAAAATGAAGCCGCCAGAGGCAGCCTTCAAGCTCAAGTTCTTTCAACCACATTCTTGCCCTATACCAGGATGACTTCAAGCATCTTGCGTGCCCACTGCGTGCCCCCTGCTAAGCGGCTTGGTTTGGGAGCCTCAGTGATTTTTCTTTGGAAGAATGGAAAGAGAAAACAGTGACTTTAGTGAAGTCCAGTGATGAATGCAGAAACATGATTGCTTCTTACTTCTTATTTTCCTTCCTCTCTTCATCTTTGGGGGGGAGTGGGGGCGGGGGGGGTGGAGGAGAGAAGACGGGTCAGACCTGTGATTTCTTTAGCGTAGGAAAACTTCTCATGGGGATACTCACTCCCCTACTGTCTTAGAAAAGCTACCTTGGGGTTCCTCATCTTGTCAACTCATTTATATGGACGGTTTCAGGGGCTTACTAAGGAGATTTTGTATTTCTGTAGAATTGCAGTTGCTATGCCTAACATTTTTTACTTGTCAGAGATGCCTAGGGAGCGCTAAGAAGTGAGTGGGACCCTAGAATCTCAGGCAGAAAAGGATGAGAAGGGAGTTTTCTTTATCGAGTATCTTTCTTTCTTAATGTCTTCCTGAAAAGATTTATTTTGTCAATCTTTTTTCTTTTTTTTAATAAATACATTTTTTTTTTAGTTTTCAGCAATCACTTTCACAAGCTTTTGAGTTTTAAATTTTTTCCACTTCTCTGGGGCATGCAATCTGATATAGGCTCTACATATATATTCCTATTGAACATATTTTCACATTAGTCATGTTGTAAAGAAGAATTAGAACCAAAAGGAGGAACCACAAGAAAGAAGAAATAAAACAAAACAGAAGAAAAAAAAGAGCATTCAGACTCCATAGTTCTTTCTCTGGATGTGGATAACATTTTCCATCATGAGACTTTTGGAGATATCTTATATCTTTGCATTGCTGAGAAGAGCTAAGTCTATCAAAGTTAGTCATGGAACAACGTGGCTGTTACTGTGTACAACGGTTTTCCTGGTTCTGCTCACTTCACTCAGCATCAGATCTTATAAGTCTTTCCAGGTGTTTTCTAAAGTCCACTTGCTCATAATTTCTTATAGTACAATAGTATTTCATTGCATTCATATACCACAACTTGTTCAGCCATTCCCCAATTGGTGGATATATCCCCATTTTCCAATTCTTGGCCACCACAAAAAAAGCTGCTATAAATATTTTTGTACATGTGGGTCCTTTTCCCATTTGTATGATCTCTTTGGGATACGGCCTTAGAAGTGCTATTGCTGGGTATGCACAGTTTTATAGCCCTTTGGGCATAGTTCTAAATTGTTCTCCAAAATGGTTGGATCATTTCACAACTCCACCAACAATGCATTAGTGTTCCAATTTTTCCACATCTTCTCCAACATTTGTCATTGTCCTGTTTTGTCCTGTTAGCCAATCTGATAGGTGTGATGTAGTACCTTAGAGTCATTTTGACTTGCATTTCTCTAATCAATAGTGATTTAGAGCATTTTTTCATATGACTACGGATAGCTTTAATTTTTTCCTCTGAAAACTGCCTGTTCATATCCTTTGACCATTTATTAATTGGAGAATGACTTGTATTCTTATAAATTTGACTTAGTTCTCTATATATTTTAGAGATGAGGCCCTTATCAGAGATGCTGGTTGTAAAAATTCTTTCCCAGTTTTCTGCTTGAAGATGATTTCTAAGGTTCCTTTCAGCTATAAACTTTCAGCAACTACATATATATATGTATATATATATGTGTATGTATATAGGTGTGTATATATATGTATATATGTGTGTGTGTGTGTGTGTGTGTGTGTGTGTGTGTGTGTATAAATTATCTGGGTTCCCACAGGAAGAGACCCTGAGAAAATTAGGGTAGATATGAAAGGATGGGCAAATAAATATATATAAATATATATAATTGCATACTAATATTCTTTTTCCGTTCCATTATTCAGCACCTACAATGCTAGACATATGTGTGATACTCAGGAAATGCTAGCTGATTGCTGCTGGGCATTCATTTTCATTGCCTTCCCATGCTTTCTCCCTTTGGCATCAGGGAGTACTGGAGGAAGCTTTTGAAAATTCTGAAGTTTGGAGAATATTTGGGGGAAAGGTAATTGATTTTCCAAACCTCTTTTTAAGGTTGCGCTCTGCTGTAAATATAGTAAATGGCCTCTCATTAACAAAAAATACGAACGTATTGATGTCTTTTGTTTTATAACTAAAGAAATCAATATGCCCTCTTTAATATGAAGAGAATAACTGAGAGAATGAGTAAAATTGAATGGGAAAGATATAATATTTACATAAGAGAAAGGGTACTAAAGTGAATTAAGTCCTTATTATAAAAGAAGCCATGTTTCCAAACATCCTGTGACTCCTGTGTGTTTCCCACATGACACCTAAGACTGGTGCTGGTGGCAAGGTCCAAATCAGCTTGCTGTTGCCTTCATTAATTATCCAGCAAAACAGTGTAATATCTGAATTATCCACTAGGAGGTGTACTCTTTGAGAGATTTTTCAGTCTGTCCAACTTTTCATGACCCTATGGATCATAGCAAGCCAGGCCTTTCTGTCCTCAACTATTTCTCAAAGTCTGTCCAAGCTCTATGACTGGGACATTGCTTCCATAACACTATCTATCCATCTCACCCTCTGCCATCCCCTTTTCCTTTTCCCTTCAATTTTCCCCAAAGTCAGGGTCTTTTCCAATGAGCCCTGTCTTCTCATTATGTGGCCAATGTATTTAAGATTCAGCCTCAGTATTTGTCCTTCCAATGGATAGTCTAAATTAATTTCTTTAAGTGTTGACTAATTTGACCTCGTTGCTGTCCAAAGGACTTTCAGCACCACAATTCGAACGCACGGATTCTGAAATTAGTCCTGTCTAGCACATGATTGAGACTTCTTCCACCAAAAGCTTCGTTATTCTCTTTTGTCACCAGAGGGTGCTCAGTCGGCAACCTCTAGGCTATTCCCCTGCACTGCCTTGAGGCAGGACTTCAAGAAGAAGTACTAAGCAGTTTAAATACAAACTGGCTTCCTGACCTCTACTCTGGCCCCTTCCTCTGTTCCAGAATCTTAATGCCTGTGCAGGCTGGTCTCCAACAGCTATCCAGTCTCAATTCTCCATACGGCAAGCAGGATAATAGAAGGAATAGGATCCCAGTTCTGTATTCCAGTGTATGTACAGTTCTATCTCAGAGTTTCCTGCTCTTGGTGAGAGCTCTCTTCCTAGGACCCTCATTGAGGAGGTGTATCTAGATTCTCCACTCTTCCTGAGGAACTGTTATCACCTTTGGCCTAGGGGTCAGTAAAAATTTAAAGATAAGATGGCATGATCACTTTGCCAACAAAGGTCTTTATAGTCAAAGCCATGGTATACGAGTAGCAACATATAGCTGTGAGAGTTGACTAGAAGGAAAACTGAGCACCACAGAATTTGCACTTTCAAATTGTGGTGCTAGAGAAGACTTTTGAGAGTTCCTTGGACAATAAGATCATATCTATCGATAATCAAATTAATTCAGACTATTCTATGGAAAGTCAAATAACTGAAACTGAAGCTGAAATACTTTGGCCACATAATGAGAAGATGTGACTCACTGGGAAAGACCCTGATATTGGGAAAGATTGAAGGCAAAAGGAGAAGGGGATGGCAGAGGGTGAAATGGATAATGTCATGGGAACAATGAACATGAGCTTGGACAGACTTCAAGAGATAGTGGAGGATAGAAGGGCCTGGAGTGCTATGGTGCGTGGGTTTACATCAATAACAAAAAAGCAAAAACAAAAACCCAACACCAACAAACGACTTAGAAAATGGATTAAGGTAAGATAACTTTAGAATCACTGGTCTACCTGAAAGCCATGAGCTACCCTCTACCATCCCCAAAAGAGCCTGGCTATCATATTTCAAGAAACTATGAGGGAAGATTGTCCAGATCTACTATCATCGGGGGGGGGGGGCAAAGTAAAGATTAGAAAGAATCCTCCAGGAACCTCCTGGGAGAAACCCAAAATGAAAACTCCCAGGAACTTCATGACAAAACCCAAAGTTTCCAGGTCAAATTAAAAATATTGTAAGCAGCCAGGAAAAAAAGGATAAGATGGCATGGCATGGCATGGCATAGGCACAGGTTTCGATCTTGAGAGCCAGAAATCCCTTTTTACACTTTTACCTTTCAATTGAGAGAACCTTTTCTTGCTTCTCAACTTAAGAAAAAAATATGCAAGAATTAAATATTTCTCATCTTTCTTTTAAATGTCAGAATGACATTTAAAAATTCAATTAAAAGATAAAAGGAACCAATAATTTTATATATTAATGTATTTCATTCATTTATTCGACAACATGTAAATGGCTACCTTGTGTAAAACATTGGTACAAATACGAAATGATCTGTGCCCTCAGGGTGCTCACAGTCTGGTGTAAAAATATATACAGATGACTAATATATAAAACACCACATGAAAAGTACATTAAAAATGCGACACAATACTAATGGGTAATTAAGACTGACAACTAAGAGCATAAATAAATCTAGAAAAGTTCTTTATGAAATAATGCAAATTGAAAAAAAAAAGCAAAACCAGAAGAATACACACCCTAACTACAAACAATGAAAAAAAAAAAGGAAAATAAATGGGGAATAAT